TTGTTTTTGTGATTAGTCGCCATATTTTACAGGTTATGAATGTCACAAGTCATACTGGAGCAATACATAAATATAAAATGCTTTCCTAATTTGCAAATAGGCCATAAGTAATGTTTAAATTGAATTTCTGGGATCGTAACACTTATTCAATCCTGTCTTATGATTTACGTGAGTTCATGACAGGTGTCGAGCCTGTGCAATAATAAATACCTACTCGAGAAAAATGTAAATTTTACATATAGCGGTGAGTAGGGTCGAATCCACAGGGACTGGGGATAACTTATTTCTTTTAGAGTTCGAAGTATGGGGGGTTTTCAATGGGAGGCAAATAAAAATGAAATAAAACAAACAAAATTCAAAACTAAATCACAAAGCACAATTCACTAAAAATAGCAATTAATAAAAGTTCTACCCAAAGGATCAACTGCTCAGGCACGGTCCAAATAAATGCTCATCGATGCAAAGATATTTCATCCATTTATCACTAGGTTGGTTATAGCCATCAATAAGCTCTGACAACCAGTTCTTCCTTACTTTTTCGACAGTCAAGGTACGACCATTGACTGCTTCTCTAACCAGATAACAATCCTAGGTACGACCGTAGGAATTTAATTACCCAATTGCATTAAAGCTAGAAGAACCCAACCCTAACCAATAAACACGCTAAGAGGGTTTATTTAAGCTAGATCTTGCGTTTCCCCATCATAAAACCAATTATGGTGGTTGCCACGAGGTGTTAACTAAATGAACAATTACGGATTCTATTTAATTAACGTGGCAGTAGGCTATTAAATTAAATCAAATACCCGGCCGTTGATATTCAATTAATAAAATACCCATGAACAATTAATTCAGGAAACGCACGAATAGCAATAAATTGGGAGAAATAATGAAGATTCGGTTAGATCTCACAGATGTGATGGACCGCGCCCTCGCGCCAACCTTTGGGTAGAGGGGGGAATTAGCCGCTCCTCATCATGTCAAGCTCACGCAATTTAATTGATTTCATCCCCGCAAACATCAAAGAATCTGGATTGGTGAAGTAGCGCAGATAGAAAAAGTGAAAAGTCTCGCTTGACTCTGCGTGGGAGTCCGTACTGGATTCCCCAAGTTCAATGCCAAAACCAACGGAAGTTGAATAAATTCGAAAGCGAAAAGCGAAGGAGTCAGACGCAGACGCCAAAAACAAGGGAAAGAAAAGTCTTCTGTGTCTGACCCTATTCGGTCGCAGAAGAAACAAAAGAAAAACAAAAGCGTCTAACAAGTCTTGCAAAAAGGTAAAACTAAGGCTAAAAGTAGTGATGCTTTGAATCTTGCTTTTTCCTTTCTTTATAGCTGCCGCAGGAACTCTCAGACGTCTGGCCCAATTCAAAAGCTAGCCCTTTGGAGTTTTTATCCCATGCTTCTCGCGGTTCACGTGGACCGCAGTCCGGCTTTCGGTTTCGTCCACCTTCTAAGGCGTGGCCACGCCCTGAGACGAAAAGTCTTCTGGAAATTTACCCCGCGAGATCATTTTTCATGCCTACCACCTACAATTCACACAAATATCGAATATGAGTGAAATTCCAATTCTTAGTACCGTGAATAGCCAAAATTAGGACAAAATAACTGTGCAAAATACGCCAAATAACCGTTCTATCAGTTCACCGTTGGTTGTCCAATAAATTACACATCATTAGGAAATTAACCCCAACTCGATACATAATCCACTGCAGGTATGCCCTCCACAAAAAAATTGGCATAACTGTTTTTTACCCAAGACAAAGGAAAGTTAGGATCACCTCAAGTATCACAACTTTAAAATGAAGCGGAGCAGATTCAGGTGAACAAATTTAAGGTGAATAGTCTTCTACTTTGGTTTTTAGTTGCTTATTTCTTTAGGGAAGAACAATTCTTTGGTTGCTTTTATGATAAATTGTTTGATAGCATGTCTGACGTAACTTGTCAAAAACCTATAACCTCTTACTGTGTGATAGTAATCACTCACTCTTCATATTCACATTCGGTGACGTTGGATGTACTCTATCCTGTGATAGCACTCTACTACATTTTGCAATGTTGGTTTAGACAGTCAACGAATTGTGTTTTTAATTTGTCCAATTTCACCTCCCTCTCTCATATTCAAATGCATCTGGGTGCTTATGAAGAATGTGAAACTTTTAAGTTGATGTTGCAGTTCCACCAATGCAACCAAAACTAGAAGTAGTTGGATTTCCTGACTACAATCCACAGATTAGGACTGTAGTGTGGAACTCTGGAGATGATATACCACTAATGGTATTCTTGCCCCCAAAAGGAATCCAATCCTGTATAAAACTAAAAATGTGTACATTAACTTTTAATTTGAATTACAACAAGCTTTTGTTTCTTGTACATCCCAATGTAGCAGGTTGAAGAAAAGCTTTCCTGCAGAAGAAAAGCAAAGTTCTTGGAATGGGCGGCCTAACAGATTTGATGTGAAAAAAAGTGCATAAATCAATTGATCACTTGCACCGCCCCTTGCATTTGATCGAAAACTTATTCAAAGCACGGCATCATAATGCGAATATACAAAAATGATTTGGATTAGGCACAGAGATTAGCTATTCAATGCAGATAAATACTGGATTGATGAAGTCGGAGAGGTATGGTTGGACCTCAATAGTTCATGATACTGGATGATATGTCCCTTGTGGGCAGTGTCGTACATGCTTCATCCAGGCTGATCAAATGCACTTCTACAGGATATAGAGTATCTACTTGTAGATGATGGAGGTTTCGCAAAACAACTATATCAAGCTCCTGCATTTAATTATCAAACTCTCTAGGATCATGAACAAAGTCACTTTCGGTTTTCTTCAGAATCAATGAGATGAAAATAGAAGAATTTTCCTTCAGGAAGTTCTCTACCTAGTTTGCAATTCGCTAGGCTTCTTAAAACTGTGGTATGAGATGTAATTCTAACTTCAACTCCTGGAATGAGCAATATCTATACTCGGTCAGGGAATTTTTTTTTGGTTCCAATTTAATCTCTATACCTAGCTATTAGCCATCATTAGCTAGCTCTTTCTTTCTCCAGACATTGTTGTAGATTGTGAACTACTAGACTATAATTTCTTCTAATTGCAAGCTTATGCACATCTTGATAGTTTAAACTAACTACTATGAATGCCATCATGTCATTTGAAATCATCATTGTTTTTATTATAAAAAGTTATTTTCATCATAATAGTAGAAGAAAATGTTGCTTTCCCTTGTATAATAACATGATTGTCACCTATCTCTAAGAAAAACCATATGTGGCCGCCTAGTGCTCTCTAGTTGGTTGAATGAACAGACCAATAAATTGGAAATTGTATGGTATCATTATTCAAACCTATACCGTTTCTTCTAGTTACAAGAGTAACTATTGTACAATTTTATATTAAGGAAAGATTAATCCAAATAAGAAAGTGATGGTTTGAAAATTAAAAGAGGAAACTTTCTAGACAACCCTAAACTGTTGCTTTTGTACGATTTTGACCTCTCAACTATATTTCAACATATTACTAAAAGGTCTCTCATCTTGATAAATCTATAGCCCATAGACAGCTGCCGTTACTTCACACACGTTGACCGTTAAGTGATTAATCAATCAGTATGAATTGTTTTTTCAAAATTCCCTAATGACCCCCAACCCTGGGCCCAATTCTCTTCCATCTTTTCTCTTTTTCAAACCCAACTGCAGGCAATAGATAAACAATCGCTTTGCAACAGACATAGAGCACCCAATTCTTTTTTGAGCCATGTTTATTGTCAGGATGAATTTTTGCATTGAATATGTTGTTTCCAAATCCCTCAACATTACAACTGATTTTAGACTGCCTATTATTAGCCTCTAAATCGCCACCTCCGCCAGAGAATTTTGCATCTCTATTAAAATTATAGAAACAACAATTCTAGATAACATCACAAACAAACCACCTTATTATTTGACCAAAAATAGAAAATGAAGAATTGAATCTTTTAAATTGATTTGTTAATTTCCTGTTGTGCATGTATGTGTAATGGAGAAGAAGATAAAGAAGGGAAAAGAATAATGGAACTTGTTGAGAAGGGAAGGTGTTGAGGGAAACAACATAGTAGTAGAAGAGGAACTTTGAGCAAGCCATGGATGCTATTCCTTATTTTTGTTCATATGATTTATGTGTGAACAAATCTTCAGTTTAGTATTTCACTTTAAATATAATCTAGCAAGCAGAGGGCACTAGTGTCATTCCATAAGTACTGTTTGCTGGGCCTTGACATCGTTATCAATAAGGCAATGGCGTAATATGGCCGAACCTCAGGGTTTAATTTGTATTTTGATCAACTCTCAAAAGAGATAAATGCAATCAACCCTATAATTTTTTTTATCCATGTAAATTAATTTAGTGGAAAAAAATTTTCAGCTGTTACATCATAGATTATTGTTGGAAATTGATATTTGTTAGTGAAGAAAATAAATTGCTGGATATTTAATACTTAATTAAGTGTGGATATGTAATTCTAAGTTTATGATGATTAAAAGAATTTAATTATCTAAAAGAATATCTAAAAAAGGGAATATCTATCTATTTTTTTGACATGCGTTACAATATCTAACGAATATTATTTTTTTTGAAACTTAATAACGAATACTAGTATACTATAGTAAAAGTATGTAAAGAAGTTTTTAAAAATTAGTATAATAATTAAACATTTAAAATATATCAATTTTCTACAATTAATACTACAAATGAACATGTGAAATCGCTGTTAAATTTTTTATTTAAATAGTCATACTTACACAAACATACAATAAATACAAATGATAGACCGTGCTAAGATACGAACAAAATACTAGTTTAATAACTTAGATGCTCTTAACCACCACATGCTGTTTGTTACTTAAATAAAGGAAGAAATACAAAACCAGCCCTCAAAAAGTCTACCTTCAATTCCACATTTCACACCATGATTAATCATGAATCCTCCACTTCACCAACTTGCTACTATTATCCACTGCAATCTTCCACAAACTCATCAACACATCCCTTTCTTATTTCCACACTTCCAACAAACAAACTTACACCTCTAATCCCCTCACAATCCTTAGCTTCACTGCTTATACAAAAAAGCTTCCACCTTTGCACGTATGACGGCATTTTCTCAAATTATCGTTTTTTTCATTTTAGTTGTTTTAATTGTCCTAATTTAAAAAGCAGTACCCTCAAATTAGAATTTTAGTAGCATTTCAGTTTAATAATTTGTGTGTAATAAAATTATGAATTTTTGGTTAGAATGGATGTAGTTACATTTGGCATCATTGTAGGAATCATTATCCTCTTTTTCTGTATCGTTTGTTTCATCACCATTGAAGGCACCTGCAAAAACCGCCCTTCTTAAATTGTAATCCTCCAAACACGCCCTTAATTTTTCTAATAACCCCCGAACTTTCCATTTCAGTCAACTCCCCCTGCTAATGCTGCTACTTCTTCAAAACCGACAGTCTCAGAAAATACCTTTTATTTCACCCAAAATTGGAGTGGGGAAAGAAAAAGAAAAAAAAGAGAGCAAGAAAATGGAAAGTTTAATTGAACTTCGGATCCAAAATTTGCTGTTGAAAGTTGGAGTCTTTGTTGCTGTTTTGATGATTTATGGATTGGGTGTAAAGGCGGCCCATGAAGATTTCCATGTACACTCACCCCATGACCATGATCACCACCATCATTGTGGCCATGGCCATCACCATCACCATCACCATCATAATGAGGGAGAGCATCATCATGGACGTCATGATGACGTGGGAGGTGAGGTAAAGGGGAGCCGGAAGTTGCCGGAGGAGTTGGCGGAAGAGGAGGATTTGAAATTGTACGGATTCGGAGTTGGGGACCACCATCAGCATCATCATCATGGTATAGCTGCCGGAGATGAGGAACTTTCTGGGCTTGGTAAGTTTCTTCTACTAGCGTTGTAGCAGCACTGCTCTCTCTCTCTCTCTCTCTGTGTCTCTGTCTCTCTCTCTCTCTCTCTTTGTAATTCGATTTTTTTTGTCATTTTCCCTTTAATTGTTTGTTGGTGAACATAATGCTTATCGTTCTGCATTTGAGGATGAATTTAACTATTGTTGTTGATTTAGGGCCATTTGGGTGTAGCATTTGTTGGTTTAAATTTTCAAGAATTTGGGGTTCCGTTTGACAGAAGAGGGGATATTTAGCATTTTGGCAGCAGAAACAATGTTTTGACTTTGAGACAGGTAGAGAAATAGGGGAAAAAATTAGGGGTCACACTTGACAAAACCTGGGACTTTTAGGATTTCGGCAACAGAGCTACTGTGCTAAGGCAGGTTGCCAAGTAGGCAAAGGATTGCTTTTTGGCCTGCAAACAATGTCCTGAATAGGGTTTAGGGTATTTTAGGGCCATTTTGGTATGGCTTTCACGCGACGCAACTCTTGAGAATTGGCTGTTGTGTTTGACAAAAGGTGGTATTTTGACAGGTTGCTTAATAGGTAACATTTATCAGCATTTGAGGTGCAAAGGATGCCTGAAACAGGGCTTAGGGTATTTTGGGTTCAGTTTGGCATAAAGATGGTCGGACGCAATTATTGAGATTTATCTGTTGGGTTGAAAAATTGTGGGATTTTAGCATTTTGGCACCTGAGATGTCTTTCTGCGACAGGTTGCCGGATAGGTAAAAAGATTAGCTTTTGGGCTGCAAAGCCCTAGCAGATGGTTCAAAACTACTCATCTGAGAGAACCTGCTTCCATCTGGAGGCGATGCTTGTTTGTTTAGTATTGGACCATCCATGGAGCCATAACACTGTCAAAAATAGAGGTAAGGGTCTGTTGCTTTTGTCAAACAGGATTCTTGAGAATCAAGGGTTACATTTGACAAAAGCATTTTGTCACTCCAAAAGCTGTTCTAGACTGGTTGCCAAACAGGTCGAAAATAGATTCTATGCTGCAAAGGCTGTCTGAATGTTGCTCTAATATATAACCTTAGGATGCATTGTAAATATTAGACTTGATGGTTTTGGGTTTTCTTAGTTTCGGCTGGCATTGCTATGAAATGGGGAGGAAAACTTTTATTGATTGGGTCCATATTCTAGAGCCTCTTGGTTAGGGCCTTCATGTGCACCTGCCAAGAGACTAATTTGGTTTATGTGAGCCTTATCTCCTGTGGATGCTCTTTTGTTTTGTCATATTTAGTTTCTATGATCAAGTAATAGCTTTCTCTGTGATCTTGTATTACTTGTGATTATTGTTACAGAAGCTCCTGCTCCTCTGGTACAGATTGAATTAACTGATGCATGTAAAGGTTTTCTCTTGCTGTTTACTTTTGTTCTGCTTATTTTTGTGTTTGTCTTTCTTGTATGGTTGTCAAGAAATTTGTCTTGTAATACGCTACTTTGCTTGGAGTAGCTTATAGGTGTGAACTCAAGTGCCTGGTATAACTTGCACTGTGCATTTTTCCACATAAAAATGAATGCCGAAGTAAAGTTATGCCACTGAAAAAGAGAAAGATGGCAAAATTACTTTGTCCTACTTAAAAAGGATGTCAACATATGTTGTGGTCGTAGCTGCAGTTCCCCAAGAGAAATAAGCTTCCCAGTGCTTCTTGAACTGCCTCACCTACAAACACAACTGAAGTTGGTGGGGCCGTTATGAACTTATTTGTAATTCATTCAAAAGTTTGTTATAATATGTGGCAACTTGGAATGCTGTGGGTAGGCATCTTTTTAGGTTTAACAAGTGCTCAAAGGGGATCCCTAAAAGCAATGACTCAATTGACCTAAATTGTCTCCAGAATCATTATAGCTCCCTTCTTGTACTTTTTGAGGCTTTTGGTTAATTTGGATTCCTTAAGCACATTTAGGTGGTTTATAATGTCTCGGCGAAGCACTTTTTGACTCAAGTGATTTTAGCTTCATGTTAATTTAGAGTTAATTAGAAAGTTGTTTCGAGATATGACCTGCTTCTTGGCTTCATGGTTTAATTCCTAGAATCTGTTTTATCCATTGTGTTTTTGTTGATAAATTGATGGCTGAGCAATTGTTTTTTTTATATGCTGACTTCATGTTAATTGAGAAATTTTGCGATAACTACGGTGTGGTGTTAGTTCACCAAAGAATTTAGGTGGAAAAGAAAATGTTATCAATTCATATGGCATTTAAATTACTCTGAAGGTTGCTCATATAGCCTGTTCAGGCAAGAGGATTTTTGTTGCAGTCTTTGTTATTGCTCTGGATTTTAAAAAAATATCAGCTAACTTGTTTGATGTGGCAAATTTTGTGATTTTGACATCTCTAGGCCTATCATTTGTTTGCTTGAACTAGAGTTTAAGTTAAGATTTTTTCTTTTTAGTTGGTGGATGTATTTATCATTTACTTTCGGCTCCTTTGCATTGGAGAATGATTCTTTTGATTGAAAAATTATTTGGCGGGCTGCTTCTGTTCTGGCTATTGCTCAGCACATAATGTGTAGGATTCTTTGGCAGCTCTCACATCACTGCTTATGTGGCCTTGTGCATTCATTACCCTGTTAGCAGAATATGTCTGGATTGTTCAACTAAAAAATTTGACCAAGGTGTTACTTCTTAACTAATTTGCTGCCTTTGTTCTGTGGTGGTGGTCATCATGTTCCTGAAATAGTAGTGCGTGGTCTTGTGGTTATGTTGATTACAACTAATGTGGGTTTTTCATCTTTCATGTTCAGGGCGTTTCTAATTTTTTTTTTCTTAAATACATATAAGACAGTTCCTAATACAGGCTCAATCTGTTTTATTTCTTGGATTCCTGGGCAGGCCTGTGGATTCATGCAATGGGCTGCTCACTTTTGGTGAGCTTGGCTTCTCTTATTTGCCTGATTATTTTGCCTATATTGTTTAGTAAGTAGCTTGAATTTTGTACTGCTCCATTATTTTTATCTCTTTTGGCTATATCCTTTTTGCTGATAACAGAATACTTGAATTTGCCACTCATGTAGCACAAGGAAAGCCATCAAAAGTGGCCGTTGACTCGTTGGCTCTATTTGGGGTTGGATTCTTTACACCTTCTTCCCTCTAGTCCGACAATTTTGTACTTTAAAGAACATAAATTTGCTTTTTGCCGTTGATTTTTTAGCCTTCTAGTTGCTCAGCTGTTTCTTGTTTTAACCTCATCAAGTATGGTTTTATGGCAAATAAATTAGTTATCATTGTTGTATATCTTTCCCCAGAATCTTGATTTGAGAATTAAGTTTAGGAATCTCAATTATCTTAAAGCTGTAGTTATGGTTCTTCTGTTTGAGGAGTATGACAATATCCATGTCCAGTCATCACAAAAATGGTTTTGTTTGTGGTCTAGCTAATTTGGAGGGATAATATAAGTTGCTTTTTTTTTTATATAGGTTAATATATGTTGCATTTCTTTAGCCTTCAAGCAAATCCTGTTCAGGCTGACATTGTAAGATTGTAACCTTTTTTTGCTTAAATCTTCAAATAACTGAAGGTTTCGAGTGAGTATGTGCTAGTTACTATGGGTATTGCTATTATTGATGATTTGAGACACTTATGTGTAGATTTTTCATTAAGTTGATACATAATTTATTCTTGTGTCTGGCTTTGCACCTGCAGGCTGGAGCTATGTTGGGGGATGCTTTTCTTCACCAATTACCTCATGCTTTTGGTAATTCCATCAGTATTTTGTACTTACTTTTTCTACACATTGTGTATGGGGACTTTGCTCCTTTCCAGATGAGTGCTCACTTTAGTACCTGGAGAAAGCCTAGAAGTTTGTGATTTGGCCTGGCCAGGCCATAAGAGGGGGAGATTCTTTTATACTTACTTTTTCTACATATTGTGTATGGGGACTTTGCTCCTTTCCAGATGGGTGCTTACTTTAATACCTGGAGAAAGCCTAGAAGTTTGTGATTTGGCTTGGCTAGGCCATAAGAGGGGGAGATTATTGTTTGTACAAGTGGGTCTGTCAGTTCTGCTGGTGTCTAGTTGCGCACACCTTTTTCTTTTTGTTGTTAATTGTTTCTTCAGGGTGAATAGTGTGTGTATTTTAGCCTCATGTTCGACCATTGTATAAAAATTCCCAGTTTTTTTTTTTTTTTCAATTTAAAATTAGTTTACAGCTGTTCACTCTCACAGTAAACTGCCAGTTTGTGGAAAATCATCTTACCTTCTATATCTTCAGCCTAAGCATTCTTATAGGTTGTTGTCTCATCCCTTTCATCCTCATCTTCCTTCTCTTCCAAATTACAGATGAAAATGATGCCTGGATCTTCTGCACAATGTCATTGAATAATACCCACCCTATCAGTTAACTCCCTTTCATATTTTCTAGATTAGAACAATCTCTGTGTTGTATGTGACTTTGAAACTTGTCTTAAAGCTTTTGCGACTCAGTTGAGGATTTATGTGTCATTGATCTAGAATTCCTGAGTTTATAGCTGGAAAACAAAGTTATTTACAATAAAAACTTTTCCAGTGCTTTATACTGCAGGATAGCAGTGGAAGTATATTGAAGATACAGAGCGTTGCTTATGATTGGAAATCTCCCATGGACATTGAAAGAATTGGTTGACTTGGGTAATGGCATAACTGAGGCCAAGAAAATGAAAGAGTAGGAAAATATGTAATAATGTAAAAGAAGAGTTGGGAGGGGGGGGTGCTTTTAGATGCAGGAAATTTTATATTTCATGGATCTGTATATCTTACCTTGCAAACAACCATGTATATGGGTTAAGTGAATTAAATAAGGTAGTGACAATTTCCCACACTGCTTCTGGGTTTTTGATGGATACAGAAAAATAAATAAATAAATAAGTAAAACTGCAAAAGGCACACATTGAACACACAAACAGAGAGGTTTGCGTGCTTTTCAAGTTGCTGAGTGGCTGTTTTAAGTTTGAATGGTGGCTTCAGCATGGAAAGTTTTCTAGTTGAAATCTGTGACACTTTTTCTGGTTTCAGGATCAACAAATACTTGGGCAAAGATTTTGTTTGTTAATTATTTGGCTCAAAACAGAATTTTTTTAGTTAGTGAAATTGTGTTTCTAGTAGTCCCATGGTTTATAAATTCACATGTAAATGTCAGTGTTGAGTAGAAGACCTTGTTTGAACACAAGATGATTTGCGTGTGCTGCAATTAACTGTTAGGTTACCTGTTGTAGCCTTTGTGAAATCCAGTATGAGTAGGAGATTTGCGAACTGTGATTTGCCATGTACAGCACGTTTAAAATTTCCATCACTGAAGTAAATCTTGACATCTTAAAGATGCACTATATCTGCCTTTCACTTCAATTGATTGGAGAAACGGGCCTAGGACCAAAAAGTTTTGTTCCTCTTATTGTTAGGCCTATAGAAATAATTTCTTTCTGCCTTTATTCGTTGCTCGATGATGGCTAAACTCAATCTTTTGAAGCTTCTTGAATTTCCAAATGTGAAGTACTTGTGGATTATTGTGGTTTAAATCAGGTACTGAACTTTTAAGTCATATTTTTGTAGGTGGTGAACACTCTCATTCTCATGATCATCATTTGGACCATGCTCATGTTCATTCTGGACATGAGCATTTTCAATCACATGCACATTCGCTGAAGGATCTTTCTGTTGGATTGTCCATTTTGGGTAAGTGAGGAACATGTGAAACAGAGACTACTTACTTGCTGAGGTTATATATACTTTGTACCGTTTTGAAGTATGCATTTGCATAGCTCATATTGCCTCTGTTTTCACTTGGATTTGATTCAAAACGTCCAAATCCAATTGTGAAATTTCTGATTTTATTTTCAAATGCATGACTTGTTAGGAAATGAGATTTCTGGCATATAACTTTTGTTTGCTTGTCACATAAAGATGTTCTTGGTTGGAAAGAGAAGAGGAAAAAGATGATTAAGTTCTGTTAAATTTTTAGTTAAAGTAAATATGCGATGGAGTTGAAATCTTAATATGAAATGGTATTACCTCAAGAAGAGTACTTTCTTGTGGCAGTTATCTTGCAAAATATGTTCTGATTGAGGATAGGATTACGAGATTCATTTGTCTGATCATTACCTTAAACAATAGTAGTCTTGTAATTTGTTCCATTTGGGTTGGGAGACTTGCCTCTAGCTACCACTATTTGATGGTGGTGCTTTACATTAATATGAAAATCACTTGGGTGTTGTATTGACCAATCCACATTTCTTCTGTGACTTTATGGAGCGTTCAGATGTCCAAAATGCAGTATTTGGGTGACGACATCCTTATCGTCTCCAAGACACGCTGTACATGAATTATGGGTCATGGTTCACTTTCTCAAATGCTGAATTTTCTCTAGACTTACACAAAGAGATTATGAGCTGGCCTTTTTGGATGTAGCTTTTGGTTCTTCAGACCATCAAAATCTATTAGGGGGAAAAACTGTTTTGACTTTTCAATGCTTTCTGAGTGATTATTTGATTTTCAGCAGCATTACAAATTACATGGCACCACAAAAATCATAGTACAGTGTAAAATTTCCTTCTAAATGGGAAAGAGTTTTTTTTTTTTTTTTTAAACCAAGCAAAGAAAAATTCTTAAACCTGGGAATTGGACCACGTGAAGTTGTATTGTTGACTTCCTCAACTGCTTAAAATATCTTATTATCCTCGTAAACTATTAATACTGGTGATCTGGGCTTAATTTAACACTAGTTCAAAGCAATAATGATATCTCTGTTGTTGCAGCTGGTATTATATTGTTTCTTCTTGTTGAGAAGCTTGTGAGGTATGTTGAAGATTCATCTGGAGCTGGTAATGTGTGGGGTCATAGCCATCATCATCATCATAAACAAACTACGAAGTTAAAAACTGAAAATGATGCTTCTGAGGATCTTCAGGGGTTTTATGAAGATGAGAAACATAGAACTTCGACTGAAAAGCCATCTGAGGAAAAAGTGTTGGATGGAAGTTCTTCCAATAATCTTGCTGGAGAGGAAAAGCAAATTGAACATACTGTTCTCCGGAAGGTAGGTTAAATTCATGATACTCTTTTGCTTGTGTGATAGCTGGCAAAGATTCAGTTGGGTGCTGTTGCGTCTGGGTTCACGTTTGTCTTTTCTTATTTTTTATAACTGTATTATGATAACCTCATGATGTTCAGTTTCTACTGTGTCTAGGGGAAGATAAGATTTACTTCACTAACAGAAAAGACGGTAGAGCAGTTCATGATCATATTTTTTGTGATTAGTTAAGACTCACAGATCCTGATTGAATTGGGAACAATTCATATGTTGTATCACTTGAATCAAGAACTCTGCTATCACAGTCACGACTTTATATTCGTAAAGCATTTTCTTGTTCTCCTCTTAAGAACCACCAGAGAGCATACCTTAAGAAAACATAGCAAGTTAAGGAACATCATCCATATTGCATCTGTTCATATTAAACTCGTTACCACTACATAAATTGTCTCCACAAGGATCTTGTGAATTTGGCATTTTTTTTTTCTTGCTGCAAAGGAGAATTTAGTACAGTTTTCACAATCAATTTCGTAAATACTTTTTGCTTAAAGGGACAATTGGGATGACATACCCTGTACTTGTTCTTTTGCATCTTCTGCTTCTTTTCCATAGCAATATGACCTGCACATCAATGGTTATGATGATTTCCAAACTATCTTATACCTATGACAGATGAGGAAACAACCTATACTTTCATGGCTAATTTTAGTTGTTTATTGTGCTTGATCTTGCAGAGAAATATTGGTACAAGTAACGCTGAAGATAAAGCTAATGCAGGGGCTACTGAAGATGAAACTAACCTAGTTGTCGCTAATGGCTCCAAAAATAATATCAAATTGAAAGACAAAGAAGAAGCTAAATCGTCATCAAATCTTGTCTTTGGTTATCTGAACCTTATTTCTGATGGTGTGGTATGATTTTTACTTCTTTTACTTCTTGACGCCTGTATTCATTTAATATTGATTTTAAGGCTAGCATGGAGATTTTTAGATGCTTTTTGTCATTTAGCATTCGCCCATGAAATTTTTTCATTCTCAAAGATAATGTCTGTCATTGTGCAGCACAATTTTACTGATGGTATGGCTCTGGGTAGTGCTTTCCTTCTATATGGATCCGTTGGAGGATGGTCGAGAACTCTCTTTCTGCTTGCACATGAACTCCCTCAAGAGGTCTTACCTCTCTCTCTCTCTCTCTCTCTGTCTGTGTACATGCTTCTGATGTGCTGGTTGTTGTCACTTTACAATTAGATGAGGTATGAGTTGAGTTCCATTTCCTACAACAAAGCAATCACTCATGTTGATTGTAGGGGTAAAACCAAGCCTATAACCCCCTATTCTGCGTAGGGATCTTTTTTTTCAGAAGGAGAAAAGTTGTGTGCATCTTTTGCTGAAGAAGGTGAAGTCATGGGGGAAAAGAAGAATGTGTTTTGACATTTGCTTTTTCTTTTTTTTTTTTCCAAATTATTTTGCTCAGGCTTGTCTACATACTCTTTGACATTATTTCTTTTAAATCTTGTCCTGAGCAGACTATCAGTACTATGCCTTATATATAGGGATGGACTATTTTGATATCAACCTAGTTGCAACTTAGTTCCATCTTGCTTTTACAATAATGTTATCTGCTCATTGTCCGCCTGTCTCCCACCTATCTACCTTCCTCAAATATTAGCCAGCCACCCCCAGAATGAATTTAGTCATTATTTGTCTGGCTTTCTAGTGCTAGTGCTATACCAAGTCATATGATCGTGCACGTTGTATTTTAGTCGAATTAGTTGTGGGTAGAATATGTTTGTTCTCTAGATAAAACAAGTATCAACTATTTCTTATTGCACAAGAAAGAGCTGACAAAATATTCTACCGCATTCGCTGTAGTTCCATGTTAAACAGGAATATGAAGCAGTTGAAACTGCCAACTTTGATCTTATCTCAACCCTTATTTTGTACCTCTCTGGCTTTTGTTGATATCTTAACGAGTAGTCCTCTATCATTGCTAAAGGTTTTCAGTTTGTATATTCATGTTGCACAGATAGGTGACTTTGGGATATTGGTGAGATCTGGTTTTTCTGTCTCCAAGGCCCTCTTTTTTAACTTCCTCTCTGCACTGGTGGCGCTAGCCGGAACTGCATTGGTAAACTCTTAGCAGGACTATTTATAAATATAGTCTGCTTTTATTCCTGTTTCGTCCTTTAACAAGCTTCTCCTATTTGTGCTTTGTACTCGTGGTGATGAAAATTAACTAACCAATATAATCTCGATTCTGTTTCCTTGCAGGTTTTGATGTTCGGTCAAGATCCTGGGCAGTCGTCTTTGATAGAGGTAAGAATGGTTAGTTTACACAAAATTTTAGTTTCGGTTTTGAGTATTTCTAGGAAAACCATTTATTCCATATCTCTTCTTCCCCAGGGATTTACAGCTGGTGGATTTATCTACATTGCTGTTGCTGGAGTTCTGGCAGAGATGAATAGCAGCAGCTCAACCTTAAAAAGTACAACTATCCAATTATTGTCATTGATGACAGGCATGGCTGTAGCTTTATGGATCTCCCTTGTTGAATGACCTCTATAAACTAGTGATTTGTACTTTTGTAATCAAGTGTAACACTATGAGTTTAGAAACAAGTCCATCCAAGTGAAAATGCTATACAGCAGCAATGTTCCATGATGTTTTTGCCATCTAGTTGCAGGTCAAATTGACACAAAATAGACTAAGACTACATAACATGAATGCTCATCCACGTTTGCTGTAATTTTAGTTGTTAGATTGGAAGGTTCTAAGGAGAGATCTTGAAATAGAGTCACTCCTAGCAAATGCATGTCCTCTGGCTGACTGAATGACTATTGACGAAGTGTACCATGGCGTTGGGCTACTGGGTGAGCAGGGATTAGGTCGATGAGGGGCCTCTATACTTTGACCTTACATTTTACTTTTGTTCAACAACAATGCTGTGATTGATTTAGAACACAGTTTCCCAAAATTAAAAGCAACAAATTCTTTCACATTAGATTTGATTTACTACAAATGAAACGCAGGGAAAGGAAAAGGTAACTTCATCTGTTCTTTTTTACCTTAATCTCTACTTTCAATGGCAAAAGCTAATTTGGAGAAATCTATATACTCTGTATAAAAGTACCATGAGTTTTGGTACTTTGGAGTGTAAGTATTATTGTGAATTTAGTTTTTGTTATTTCAATTATGCCATTTATAATTTGTGATTAAAAGTTTCATATAATTTTAATTGTGGGTGGTTTAGAAGAAAATAATGGTTGATTGTTAAGGTCACTATATTGCATCATATCATATTGATTAAGAAAGAAACATTTCTATAAGTTATAAACAGTGAAATGATTTAAGACACATTACTCGATGAAATTTGGAAGGGGAAGAATTTTTCATGTTGCACCAAATGGAATTTCAATGTACAAAAAGTTCTAACACATTTATAATTGAAAGAGTAATATTCAATTGAAAAAGAAAATTTGAAATAGCATCATACAAACCATTACTATCATTAATATCAACCCCTCAAAATAAGAAAAACAGAAAAAACTGAAAATTATACATAAAATGACATAAATTGAATAGCAAATGAATCAAAAAGTTGGAAATACAATTCAAATGATACCAAAGATAACATCCAAATTACTAGAATCCCAATTTTGATCACTAAAGTCCAAGGGAAGACAAACATTGTTATCGAAAGTGATATAATAATGCTTCATTTGTATTGCATTGACCAAACCAAATCCATACAACCCCGCTTGTAGAAGTCACCTCCAATGATAAAACAAAAATGATAATAAGAGTAATCTTAAAATGAAGAATAATATCCTTATTGTTTTCAGTGATGTCCAAAATACCCTTGTTTTCTAATGATTCCTTGTTTTCTAATGATTACATATATTTATTGTATCGAAATACCAGTGAATAATGATAGCGGTTATGAAATGAAAAGCTTTAAACTTAAGTAAATTTCATTTATAGTGACAATTGTAATTAGACAGATTTATTGCATTCTAATAATTGACAAAAATGGTAGTAGTTATGGATTAAAAGCTAGCAATTCAAAAAACAAAACACTCCAATATACTAAAAATTGAGATTAAAATTGTTAATTAGCCACAATTCGCATTCCAATTCTATGATCATCAGAAACACTACTACTGAAACCAAAACAATTGCGCTCATATGAAAAAAGTAGACTTGTTACTTTTTTTTGCATTGGGTTGTGCTAAAAAAATATGAACAAAAGCAAAGGAAAATGGAAAAAGTTCAATTATTTCTATCTATGAAATTTCAATTGTTAGAATGTACAAGTTCAAAAAAAAAAGTTATGATGGATCATTTATACTTCATTATTGACAAAAATAACAATAAAAAGAATACAAAGAATTCAAATTACGTGTATGTTTATTTTTCTATCTTAACTATATTGCTTTGTTTATAAAAAAATGTTTGGTTCATGATTTCAATTTTTGATCCTAGATATATGTTAACTACATTGGAATGCTTTCTGTCCCTTTCCATTAATAAACTTTTTAAAAGTAACTGGCTAAAGAAAATAAATAACATAAAAGTACTATATTATGACGTTGATGATCAAAATTTCACAAAAAAAATTTAGATCTAAAGACTAATATATTTAGGATATTGACAAAAAGCACGTGCGATGCATGTATACAATTAAGAAAATTATTTTAAGAACCAAATTAACAATTTTTTGGTAATTAAGCAGGTGTTCTTATTGGGCATGAGTAATAATTGCCATAAGATAGAAGTTATTTGAGTTGGATATAATTAATTAGATTGAATCTAAACTAACATTTGTGTTTTCTTTTCTCATAGAGAAAATAGCACAAAACATTCCTAATATTTTACCAAAAGAATTTTAACATATTTCATATTTAAATTGCTAAATTTATGTCTCTCACAAAAAAAAAGAGTCAATTTAGATTTAATCTCCAATTCTGACCACCTTCTAAAGGGGAAAAATATTAGGTTTTAGGAACTAATTAAAAAAATTTTCAACCAAATTTTTTTTTTGGCAGGCATGATGATCTTAAGTCTGTATAATTATTTATGTGAACCCATAACTATCTTATTGTTAGTCCTGTAAATTGTTTAGAGTCAATACGTTTAATATCATTGGAAACTTATATATAATGATATCCAACTTTAATAATTTTTAACCTATTATTGATAGGACTGTCTCTGGTCCAAAAAAAGCCTGTTGAGCCTAATATTTAATTGAGTCGGATACAACTTTGACCTGAATATTAGACTCAAATTAAGTAAACCTTTCTAGGCTTAAATCCGATTAAGGCCTGACCCATATATAAGGCTTATGTATTTAATTATGGGCTTGGGCGGAGTTTGATTTGATCCCTATGCTCATGTAAAATAAGAGCTAAACTTAAGCCTTCTAATTTGGGCTCCAAATCCGAAACCCTATTAATTTGTGAGCCAAGTTCGGACTTATCAAAATCTACCTCACAAAACTCGATTGACAGATCTAATTACTGGTGCGGTATGTTAAGAAACTTTTTGAGATCTAAGATTAGAATTACATAATAACACATACATAAATCTTCAATTATCTTTTCTTCTCTAAGCTGCAATTGCTAATTGTATCCACTATGAACTTGAGAAAACTTCTACCCAAATTTCTGCAGGGTAATAATTGCAATAATAACGTTATGTGAGGCATTTTTCTCCTAGTTTCCATTTTGAAATTGGAAAGCACTTTTTTTTTTTTTTTTTTTTGAAGAGAAGCGTTTCTATATGTTATTGATAATAACTATAGCCTTGTACTTTAAAAATTAAGGTAAAATGGAAACTTTTGCTTGAACTATAGTCTGCAACGGTGAAAATAAGCTCAAAGAAAGTTATTTGTTGTTAAATTATCATAAATAATAATAAATTACCCGTGATTATATAGATAAAGAATGCTATAATTTAGGTTTGTTTGGATTGTAAATCATTTGAGATATTTTTACTGTAGCACTTTTTGTAATGTGATGTATGTGAGATAAAAAGGTGTATTGGAAATTGTAATGATGACGTAAGCAAATATATTTGGCCAAATAATCTGCTATCCAAACAAAAATATTTCTCCAATACAAAGAGCAATTTAAACTCAAATACTCTTGGCAAATACATATCTGCATACATAGACAATCATATGTCTGATCAATCACTTACATATTGGGGATATTATTAAATGGTACCATCTTTTTTTTTTTTTTTTTTTTTTGCATTTTTTAGACCATCTTCATGAAACTCTTTGAACACAGTTATGAATACGGTCATTTTAACTACATCAGTACTTCCTACTTGTTTGCTTTAGCTGTACAGAGGGATAATATTAATGAATTAACTACTTAATTATTTTTTCCAAGACAACATTGATGAATAGAGCTACTATGCATTGGTTTATGACCACCACATCGTTAACTTAGCAATGAATGAAGATAAAAATGTGTGCCTTAAACAATTTCATTAAAATAATAATTTTTGAAGGATTTTTCTAATGAGTATCCAATGAGCACTCGCTAAAATATTTAAATTATACCTAAGTTACCCTATGAATACCTCTTAACCAATGAATTCTTTTCTATGTTATACCTCTTAGCAATATATAGCAATAGATTTATCACTTCTCTTATATTGCCAAATTTAGACTAGATTATATGGCTGACTCCTATTGGAATACTTTGTTCTAAATATACATAACAGGAGCCCTTGAACTCCCATAGATGGTCAAGCATAAAATATATACCTATCAAATCGATAAACAAAACTCAATTAAAAATAAATTAAAATGCAATGATGTTGTATTGGTCCTGCCATGGCATAGTATTATGCTCCGCCGAGGTTTCTCATAGTGAAGGCATAAATTTTTTACTTAGTGGAATGTGTTCTCGGATCATAACTATGGAAGCATTCATTTTGTTTCCAATCATTTTATTATTGTCTCAAGGGAGAAATCGTAAGTTGAAATCATAAACAATATCAGAGGAAGTGGCCTCTTTATAACTTCATCTAAGAAAGTGGATTTCAATTGTCAACATGGATTGTCCCGTATCTCTATTTTTTTTATTCGTATGACTCTATGAAATTGTATTTCGGATAAGATCATTTTAAATATTACCTTTTTTCTTTCTTTTTGATGCCATTGTTCGGGGGCAGTTATGCTGATTTAATTGGTTCTTGTAGAGTTTGATTGGGTTTTGATTCAGCCAAATTTGATATGTTAAGATTCAAGATTAAGAATTCATATTTTGATAGGAGAGTAAGACTATATTATTTCACCATGTTTATTGAAAATGACAATTTTGTCCTCTATAGTTAAGCTATTATCATAATTAGTGCAGGTATATTAGGAAGATAAAAAAAAGTAAGAAACATCTGTTGTGGAACTAAATATTAATTTGAACCACAGCACAAATTGGAAATCCTATATATTTCAAATTAATAAGAATTTGGCCATCAAGTTGTCCTAGAAATAATGACAGCATGATTCGTATGGCCTTCAAGTTGTCCTAGAAGTTATGGGATGGTTTAGATCCAATGATGCTATTAAGTGGCTGCCAAACCTGATCATATTCAAGTGTCAGGGAGGGCTCTTGAAGTCTTTTCAACTGTCAGATTTAGGATTCGAATTTTGTGTCTGATATTGAGGGTAGGAATGCAGCGGGGTAGAAAGAAAAAAAAAAAAAGAAATATGACAGCCAAACCTATTTGTACCGCAACAGAAATTTTGCTCTTTTTTTCTTCGGACTTAAATGCACTTACTTGAAATCTGCTGAAAAGTCATCACTAACTTCAATTCTCTTGGGTAATATCTATATATCACGTTGCATTTACTAAGAGGCTATACTGTGAGCAGAAGGTAGTTGTATCATGCATGAAATGGAAGAACTGGTAAATTGCTCAAGATGAACTTTTATAGCTTAAACATGGGTTTTGGCAGCTGACGGCTGATTATGGCTGATTTTGCAGCTTCCAGTTCCAGCAGAGGACGTGTGGTAGTAGCGATACCAATTACCGGCGGAGGTTTCTCACTAGTGCTTAGTCTTTCTTACCTTCGGTATTTTTTGCTGCCATCCTTTAACTTCAACAGGTGTTAAATTTTTTAGTGCTCAATGTTCAAACACTATTTTGGACATGTGAATAAGGGACAGGGAATATGTTGAACTTTCATCGGATTTGGTGCAATACTTGTGATTGTTAGTGTTTTTTTTTCTGCAACGGTAGATTTTGTATTGATTGGCAAAAATATACACTTATATGAGCAAAGGTTCAACTAGTTCTATACAAAAAGTGTTAGACACACTGAGGATTGATCCATTCCTCATCTTGAGATATGCCTAAAGCATAATCATTAATCCATTCACATTTAGAATCTAATTTTCTATCTAAACAAAAGGAGCATTTCTGGAATAAAGCTCTGAGGCTATTAATATCATCAATCAAAGTTGTCATTTTGATATCCTTGGCCAACCCATTCGTTATCATTTTCGACAGCTGAGGGCTGAGGAGATGGACTATAATTTTTTGCCATTGCTGTTGTCTGGCCTTTATGATGTTTTGGAATGCCATTGCCATTTTGATATCCTTGGCCAAGCCATTCGTTGTGATTGTTAGGACATTTTTGATATTTTTGGACATGTGAATAAGGGACAGGGGCTATGTGGTTCTAATTTCACCCAATTTGGTTCTAATGTATCGTCTGGTTTTCGTCGACAGGCAAAGGACGGTCCTTGAGATGAGCAGTCATTGTGTGGTGCGAAATTCACATCCCATCCCTTTCGTACTTAGCTTTGTCTACTAGCAAATTCCAATTGCAGAATTATCTCTTAACCTAAACTGCTTATCAACTAAAGGCAAGAATAGCAAAATTTGCTTTTCCAGATTATTCTAATAAATAAAAAAAAAAGACCCTTTAAATCATGTCTAACATCTCCTGACTATTTTTTTTTTTTTTTAAATAGTTACGTGAGAATAGAATAGAATTTGAGTTGTATGATAAGTGAAAATCATAAAAATCACGTGATATCTCAAGGATCATGAACGGATCTAGAAAGCAGCAGCCAGAGAGTGGACAAGTCCTAAAAAATTGTCTGCTCCTCATGAAATATGAGGATTCATTCTTTACATATAAAGAGTTTTAATCTCGCCAGATTTTTCGAAGATTTTATAAATAGAAAAGTTTTGATCTCACAGAATTTTTAAAGGGCAATGAGGGGCAGTCAAGTTCTAGAAAATTGACTACTCCTCGTAATATATTGAGACTTCTTTCCTATCAAAAGTTTCGATTACATAAACTTTTTTTAAGATTTTCCATTAGTTACAACATTCAAATTTGTATGAAGCTTGCCCCTTCAAATTAAAGGTACATGCATCCAAACATTTCAAAGAGCGAAAATTTATTCTCTTTTTAAAAATATCATGAGCTTTTTTAGAGTTTGAATAGAATTCGATCATAGATTCTCCCGAGGCACAAAGTTTCACTCAAAATATCAATCATGGTAACGAAGTTACAAAGATGAAACATACCTTTCAATTATGGAGAAAATTAAAATAATAAAATAGTCTCCAATCTCAATCTGTCCCTTGCAATCCATCTTCTGTTTTCATTTCAATCTAAAAGTATTGGTTAGCAACAATTCCAAGATTGTGAAAAAACGTTGACAGATACCAAAATCAAGACAAAGAAAGGGTGCACTCGAGAAAAACGTTGCCTCTTTCAGGCTCTGGAAAACTTGACCACATATTAGTGATTAGCCATTTAATGTGCCATGGGTTCTCTCCTTAATAAGAAAACAGATGAATTGTGCCATATATGGAGATTAATGGTAGTATAGTGTTGTAGAAACAATATGGGCAGTCCACATGTTCTAGCCATACCTTATCCAGCACAAGGTCATGTACTTCCCCTGATGGAACTTGCCTTATGCCTAGTGAAGCATGGTATCAAGGTTACATTTGTGAACACAGAATTTGATCACAAACGAGTCATTGAATCGTTATCTGGTGAAGAAAATGTGCCTGATATGATGCATCTGGTATCCATCCCAGATGGCCTGGAATCGTGGGAAGACAGAAATGATGCGGGGAAGTTAATGAAGGCGATTTTTTGTGTTATGCCGGCAAAGCTGGAGGCTCTAATTGAGAAGATAAATCAATCTGAAAGTGACAAAATCACATGCATTATTGCTGATGAGTTCTTGGGTTTGGCACTGGAGGTTGCGAAGAAAATGGGAGTCAGGGCAGTAGCCTTCTGGCCAGCAGCAGCAGCTGTATACGCTCTGAAACTCAATATTCCAAAGCTCATTGATGATGGAATCATAGACAGCTCTGGTAAGACTCATCACAGCATAATACTTCAGTTCATCATTTTCTTATAGGCACTTACTTCTTTGTAGTCATAAAACGGTAAAACAATATAAAGTTGATTAGAATTGGAACCTATGAAGGTAAAAATCATAATGCAAGCAAAGTAACAAACTCATAGGAAACAGGGTGGTGCACATTTGGGTGTTGCAAAATAAGTTGAAAGTTGAAAAACATATCAAGTGAATTAGTCTTCATCGATGCAAGGAAATTTTTGCAGCAAAGAAAAAAATGCATTGCCAGAACAAAATGCTTATCAAAATTGATATTAAGGCAAATTTTGTGGCAGGAACTATCATGAAGAAGCAGATGGTTCAGTTATCACCCGCCATATTAGCCATGGACTCTGAACACTTTGCTTGGGCCAGTGTCGGTGATGCGACCACACAGGGTATTGTTTTTGATGCACTGGCAAAAAATAACAGAACATTAAAAATGGCTGATTGGATTATCGGCAACTCGAGTAATGAGTTAGAGGCATCAGTTTTTACCTTATTTCCAGAAATGTTGCCAATTGGCCCTCTTCTAGCTAGCAACCGGCTTGGAAAATCAGTTGGTTCCTACTGGCCTGAAGACTGGGATTGCTTGGCGTGGCTTGATAAACAACCAGTCCAATCAGTCATTTATGTTGCATTTGGGAGCACCTCAGTTTTTGACCACACACAGTTCCAAGAACTGGCTCTGGGACTTGAACTCACCAATATGCCATTCCTTTGGGTTGTGAGGCGTAATTTAACTGCAGAAACAGATGGTGCATATCCAAAAGGTTTCAGAGATCGAATACAAGGACGAGGAAGATTAGCCAGTTGGGCACCTCAACAACAGGTCCTGGCTCATCCTTCAGTTGCCTGCTTCCTCAGCCACTGTGGTTGGAATTCTACAATGGAAGGTGTAAGCAATGGTGTCCCATTCCTCTGCTGGCCTTACTTTGCAGACCAGTTCACTAACAGAAGCTACATATGTGATGTTTGGAAGGTTGGATTAGGTTTGGAAAAAGATGAAAATGGAATCGTTGCACAAGGACAAGTTAAGAACAAAATTGAGCAGCTAGTCACAGTTAAAGGCTACAGGGAGCGGGCCTTGGATTTAAAAGCAAAGGTTATGAATAGTCTTAGAGAAGATGGATGTTCTGGCAAGAATTTCAACAACTTAGTCAAGTGGATTAAGGATGATTAGAACAACTATGTATCAAAACAATGTCATCTTATTGCTACATTAGCATATTTCATATGTGATTTTCCTTCAATCAACCCGGAATTTTTCTTAGCTAAGCCTCGGTCTATGACCGGCCCCTCTTGTATTCTTTTCTTAGCAGGACTAACTACTAATATTTTCTGCTTTTATTTCCTATTTCAATTTCTTCCTTTAACAAGTTTCTCCTATTTGTGCTTCGTACTTGCAGTGATGACTCTCTAAACTAGTGATTGCATTGGTAATCAAGTGTAACCCCACGAGTGTAGAAACAGTCCTTTCGAACGAAAATGCTACACCGCAGATGATAGTTTTTTTCCCATCTAGTTGCAAATCAAATGGATATGAGATAGAATGGTAGCACAATACATGAATACTCATCAACGTTTGCTGTAATTTTAGCTGCTAAATTGAAAGGTTCTGCTGAGAGATCTTGAAATATAATCACTCCTAGTAAACGCAAGTCCTCTGTTCAAGCATCTTCCCCTCTCAAGGTATATGCCTTTGGCACCCAACATCAATGGACGGGTAAAATGTCTCTGTCAGGCCAAGTAGAATTTGGTTCGCGTTACTGGCTGACTGAAATTAGTGACTAGAGACCAGGCGCGCCATGGCAATTGGGCTACCAGTGTGAGGTAGGGAGAGCCGGAGAGGTCGATGAGGGGCCTGTCATGAGGGCCACCGGATGAACCAGGGGGCAGCTGATGTGGGGCCTCTATGAGTTTAGCGTATATTTTACTTTTGTTCAATAGCAGTGTTGCGTTTGATAGCACTAGAGGTGGCAAAATGGGCGGGATGGGCGGGATTTGATTGGGTTTGAGATGGAACCGAGTCATATGGGTTTAGATCCAACCTTACTCATATGTGTTTTGGGACTAACTTGGGCGGGATCACTTTGGGATGGGTTTAGATTGATCCCGCCCAATACCCAAATCTATTTTCTACATATTTTTTTTTCTTTAATTCATTTTTTATTTTTTATATAACTTTAATATTTTTGTTTTATTAAATTTCTTTTAGTTTTATTAAATAAACATGCAAGTGTTTTATACTCAGGATTCCCACCAAAAATTGAATTAACAAATAAAGGAAAAGATAGATATACAGCCATATTCTAACATATATCAAGATGACCAAGGCACTTAGGGTGTTGAATATTTATCCTCATCATTGTCCAAGGATGATAGGTCTAAACTAACTGAAATGCTGGAAATTCTTGTGGATAATGACTAGGAAGACTGCTAGATTATATTTGCTCGTATGACTATAAAAATTGTTAAAGATAATTTTTTAATCTAAGACTCCGTTTGGATTGGCTATTTTTTCAAAAAACAAGTTTTTCAAATATAATGTTACAGTAATATACAATAACTCAAAAAACATCCCATCCATATTAGTATATCAAATATTTCAAAAAAATTTTATAGTAAAAATTTTTCATATACACTGATACAATAAAATATTTCAAAAACACCCCAAAAAACAGCTACTCCAAACGGAGCCCTTGTTATTTGAGCCCAATGGGTACCCAAGTATTTCCCAAAATTTCCCATCAATTAATGGGTACAATTGGGATTTGTCCCATTTTAAACCCAATACCAAATTTCAATACCCATCCCGCCCAAAGTCCCCATGGGCATGGGTAACCCATTGGGACTTGGGACAAATTGCCACCTCTAGATAGCACGCAGATCTGGCAATTATGCCCAAAATCCAACAATCCACCCAATCCATCCACTAATTTGAGAGGTTGGATTGGATAAGTTGGGTTTTGGGTGAATTTTGAGTTGCGTAATAAAAATTCACATATATTTTGGGCGGTTTGGATATTTATGTTGGATATGCATTACCCAACTTAAGTTAAAAAAATAAATTAACAAATTAAAATCAGGAAACAAGAAATAATAATGAAAGTAAACACGTGCTTTATTCAATTTAGGAGCTGTATGATCGCGGAGCCAGAAAATTTGGATTTCTGAGCTTATGCCCCTCGGGTTGCTTGCCAGCCCTCCGAGTTCTCAATCCTAAAGGCTTCCATGCTGGCTGTTTTGAACAAGCTAGTGCTCTAGCATTTGCACATAACAATGCTCTACAGGCTGTCCTCCCCAATCCTGAACTCCTGCTCAAGGGTTTCAAATACTGCAACTCCAATTTCTATGATTGGCTCCTTGATAGGATTAATGATCCCACAAAGTATGGTAAGTTAACAACCCACAAGTGTATTTTAGTGTGTTTGTATGTGTAAAAATAAAATATTTCAAAAGAGCTTAAGAAGTGAGTGTGTGTTTGTATCTGTGAGTGTTTTAGTGTGTGAAAATATGTCTATTTATGTGAAAATGTGTTTATTTTGTGTGAAATTTTTTTTATTGTATGTGAAAATGTATTTGAGAGAGTTTATGTATCAGAATCTATTAATTAATATATTTGGTCATATTTGGATTATGGGTTTGAGTTGACCCAATAGGACCCAACCTAAAATTAATTCAATCTAAAGTTGGTGCGGGTTGGGTGTAACCCATTTAAATGAAAATCCAATATTAACCCGCTCAAAACCCGCCTAATCCGTCCAATTGCCAGGTATAATAGCACGGTTTCCAAAAAAAAAATAAAGTAAAATTTGTTTTCTTTATCGACACAATATCTAAACTAAATTATTGCATATTTTATTTAGATTGTGATAGTAAACAGGGGAAATTCTCTATGATGTGTCAAACCAGTGCATGCAACAAAATTTGAGCAAAGTATAAACTAAAACATTATAATTTGGATAGAACAAATTTTTATCAATTTCGGTAGTTGTAAACCTTTTTGTTAGAATTTTTTATAATTATCGATAAATTTTTTGGGAGTTTTCTTAATTAATATGATATAATGTAGTGAATTTAATCATCAATTTTAACATTTTATTTTTCCATTGATTGTTTTTGACATCTTGTCTTCTTATCACTCGTGATTTTCTTCTAAACCAATACGTATGTAAAATCTAGTTAACTTTAATTATCACACATAATAATATAACACATACAATAATTGGAGATGAGGGAAATGATTGGTGAATAGAGCTGTAGATGGGTAGTTTTTAATCTTAATTACCGATAGTTTTGAGATGTAATTTATTGAAAATTTTCATTTTTTTCTTATTAGTGTCGTGGTTGAAATGCAATAACTCTAATTAAAAGGTGTGTAATAACTCTAATTAAAGGACATGAGGATAATTTTGTCATAGCAAAAGTTAAGATTAAAATATGCTTACATTCTTACACTCCCTATTTGCAAGCCTCCTCATACTTTTTATATAATAATGATTCGAGAAAGTGCCAAACATTTGTCACTAGCGTATACAATTTTTGTTGTAGTAGATAAGGACGGAGCCATGCTTTGTGAGAGCTGACAATTGCCCCGTTCAACTTTGCAAAATTTAAAGATTAGGTGGAAAGTTGTCACCCGTGAAATTTAGAAAATGTCTTTTTCCTTTAACATTGCCCTCGATATTATGATAAATTCCCAACTTACCTCACATTACCTTCTAGATGTCTCTACTATGATACAATTATTTTGGAGCTATTACGACACAAATTTAGTTACCACTAAAATGACTTAAAATTTAAATGCAAAAGAATACTAGTGATAAAAAAAACATAATCTTAAATAAAGTTTCTAATTTGTATATTATTAACATCATATTAAGTTTGTAATCCTATTTCCACTAGCTATAAGTCATGACTCCACTCAGGGACGCACGTAGAATTTTGGTTTAAAGGAAGCAAATGAAATAATAAACAATTATCAAAACAAATGATGAATACTAACTTGATATCAGAGTCCTAAAACCAAAGTTTAATAAACTATAACTAACAACTAAATGTTTTTAATAATAACAGACAAAAGCATAATGTAAAACACGAAAATTAACTCATGAACCAAAATCACATAAACATTAACCAAATTCATGAATAGACATTAACCCTATACAAATTAACACAAAAATTCAAAGATACAAATTTAAGATAAGAACAGCTGACAAATTAATAATCATAAAAAAATCTAAGTCATAAATTAATGATTGTGAATCAAAATATAATAGAATTGTAAAGGAGAAAAAATTAGAATTTTCTTGAAGGAAAGATGAATACTTGCTTGTTCCTTTGGATGTTAGTTTTTGACCTAATTGAATCATTGGGTATTGGTTTTTGACTAATGCATCAAGTTGATTACATATAAATATAATTCTAGACATGGTTGAATTTCCTTTTATTTATCGATTATTTGTTTCCTTACCTTAGCTAATGTAAGGATATACTAAATACACTAAAGTTATAATGACATTTAAATAAGGAAACTAGAGTGAGGTATTGCAAAACATGTTTTAAAAGAGAAATTAAAGGAGGTAGATATGTTAAATAATTTTTTTTTTCAAAAAAAACTTAAATCTAATGCTCCATATAGCGTTTTCGAAAATTTTGGAGATGGCTGCCCTGGCCACCCCCTTTGTGTCTGTCGTTGTCTCCACTGATTGTAGACCCTCATCGTAGTAATTGGGAAGGCTCCTAACCGCTGAAGTGGGTGGCTTATTGTTATTACAGCACAGCCAAATTTGTAGTTGTAGACAAATTCAATGCCGGAAGACAATATTTACTTCCTCACTTTGCTCCTCCATTTGCATGCTGCATGCTGAAAGAAATACAGCAGCATGCAGTATCTTTGTGTAGATAAATTTTTTGTGAAAATTCATGAAATATGTGATGCAATTCTCAAACTATGAGTAATTTTTTTTAACCTTAATGTTTTGAGAGTATGCAAAATGAATCAATGATCAATTGCA